TTCTTCACTATCATACTTGAGACTTCAGTATCATCCATGACGCAGGTATATAAAACGAGAGATCTCCCCTTCACCCATCTCATTATGATATCTGTTGTTTGCTACATCACTCATTGTCCCAAACTGCAGAGTCTGCCTGACAGTTTTATGAACATGCTGATGGATGAAGATCCGCCAAATAATGTGAAGCTGCGACAGGCCGGCAACGGGTTTCGCAGGCAGTGGGATGTGCAGTTGGTGATCAAGAAGGGCCACATGTACTTGTCTCGTGGGTGGGAGAAGTTCTACCGTGCCTACGACCTGCGGCTGGGGTACTTCCTTCTCTTCAGGTACGACGACGACGCCACCATGCTCATCGTGAAGGTGTTCAACACGACTATGTGTCGCATGCGCTACGCTGCCGATGATGATGCCGGTACGTTCTGCCTCTTCTTATTCCTCTACATTTGGCTTTGTCTCACATTGATTGTTAACGGTCATTGTTGCATTTTGGACAGGTAATGGGAGCAGCAGCAGCGACACTGGCTACAGCCAAAGCAGCAGCGACTATGGTTGTAGCAAAAGCCGCAACGATTCTGGCTGTAGCGAAAGCAGCAGCGATTCTGACAGCAGCATAGACAACAAGAAGGATGATCCGGACTGGAGTGCGGGAGAAGAGGAGCTGAGTGAGGATGAGGAGCTGCAGGATGACGATGGGCATCAGGCTGAGGATGACCTAGCGTTGGTGGTGGCTGACCAAGGGCAAGAGATGGTGGTGGCTGACCATGGGCAAGAGATGGAGGTGGCTGAGGATGACCTAGCGATGGTCGTGCCTGAAGGTGGCCTCGCGATGGTGGTGGTGCCTGACAATGACCACGCACCGGTGGTGGCGCCGGCGATCCCACAGCTGGACGACATGACCACGCCAATTGTGGTAGAAGACTACATCCCACTGCCTCCACTGCCTCCACCGCCTCGCCGCTCTAGGCGCATCAGGAAGAAGAAGGAGAAGAACAATGCATGAGAACTGAACTTTGTCAGGTATGTCAGATCTCCTATAGGTTAGTTATCCAAAATGATATATATATATATATATACTTAGTTACGTATGTTATCTCTAATATGCTTAGTTTCCTATAGGTTAGCTTCATTTTTACCTAAGTTGGCTCTAATATGCTAACTTAGAGCTTATATGCTTAGTTTCCTATAGGTTAGCTTCAAAATAACTTATGTTAGCACAAAATGGTCAAGTTTACATAATAAGCTTATAGTCTTTTTCTTATTCTTCTTCTTTTCCAAAATGACATAGGTTAGCTTCATTTTACCTAAGTTGGCTCTAATATACAAACTTAGAGCTTATATGCTTAGTTTCCTATAGGTTAGCTCCAAAATAACTTATGTTAGCACAAAATGATCAAGTTTACATAATAAGCTTATAGTCTTTTTCTTATTTCTTCTTTTCCAAAATGACATAGGTTAGCTTCATTTTATCTAAGTTGGCTCTAATATACTAACTTAGAGCTTATATGCTTAGTTTCCTATAGGTTAGCTCCAAAATAACTTATGTTAGCACAAAATGATCAAGTTTACATAATAAGCTTATAGTCTTCTTCTTATTCTTCTTCTTTTCCAAAATTCTTCTTATTCTTCTTCTAGTGTTCTTCTTCTTCTAGTATTCTTCTAGTCTTCTTCTTTTTCTTCTTCTAACTTCTTGTTTATCATTTTATAGATTTGATTTAATTGACGGAAGCTTGCGTGGATGGAGTGCTTCTTTTTCATTTGTGTTTTTATTTTGTATCAATGTGAAACTTTTGTGAATTGATGGATAACGGTGTTGGATGAACAATGTGAAACTTTTGTAATATGTAACGATGGAACTATGTGTTGGCTATGTATGTATATATGATGGAACTTGTGTGTTGGCTATGTATGTATATATGATGGAACTTGTGTGTTGGCTATGATTGTTATATGGATGCTTGTTGTATATATATGTGTTGGATATCTCATAGGTGAAATAGTGACCTGAGATTAAGAAGAAAAAATTAAAAAAATTGTTACTAATGGCGCACTACATTGTGATGCGCCGTTAGTATAGAAGACACTGGTGACGCACTGTGGGCAAAACTAATGGCGCACTGCCTGATGCGCCATTAGTATACCAGATACTAATGGCGCACCAGTGGTGCGCCATTAGTAAAAAAAACTAGTGGCATGCTACTAATGATGCACTGGTAATGCGCCATTAGTAGGCAAAACTAGTGCGCCATTAGTAGGCTTTTTCCTAGTAGTGTGTTGTGCTACGTGAGCTACCGGTGTAGGCCGGATTCTCATGCCAGACAGTTGAGCAATGACGGCGAGATCACCACCGTCATTGCCCTTTTGTTGGAACATTTGAAATCCAATTTTCTGAAGTTCGAAGAAGAAGAGCAGGATGCTGAGTTGGGGAACCCGTATCAGTAATATCCTGGATATTATTGCTAGTAATGCTATCTCACCACCACTAGGTGGCCTTGTTTTTCTTGTGTTTTTCGTTGGGCATGATTGTGCTGTTGCCCCCGCCATCGCCTTTTTGGCTTATCTGAATGTTTGTTGTAGTATGGATCTTTGCTTTATCTATAAAACGGGGCGAAAGCCTATTTCGAGAGATAGCATCAAGATTGGCTAAAGATAAGCCTTTGTTTGTAAACATATCTACTACATGCAATTAAGAATAATATCCATTGTCGAGCATTATTCTCCTCCTGTGCTTGGAATAACCGGCAGGACATCTCGATGGTCACCAGGTCCTCTTTCTCCCCATCCTCATCGATATATGATGGCAGCTTCTTGCCCAGCTCTATATATTCCTCTCTCTTTTTCTAGATTCACTAGCAAGCACTCCATGGTCTTGCTAGTGTGCACAAACTACAGATCAAAATAATAGTCATATTCGAATAAGAAAATAGTTTAGTTTGATTATAGGGAAAGACAACAAGTAGTGATTGCATCGCGGCAAAGGTTCACACAAATTATTCATTCACAACGGAAAAATTAGTAAACAAACCATTGTTAATAGCCACTCCATACGTGCACAGGGGTCTGATCAGGCTCAAGCACCTAGCAACCATCAGGTAACCTGAAAGATGGCATTTAGAATTTCCATCTTTGCAGTGTTGATCATAGCGCGTAGTAAACAGGTCACAAAGAAGGTGTAACAGATATTTTCAGGACGCAATTGCAGTATACAGGAAAGCTTCTACCTGTTCAATTGCCGAAAGCGAATAAATTAATAGTTGAAACAGTATAATCTTGCAAAGAAGAGGTTCTCATATGAATACCTAATTAACATATGACAACCAAAGTTAACAGTGATGACTCCCAAAAGAATTCCATAGATTACTGGTGGGAACAGCTTCAAAGTTTGCTGAAGTAAGAAAATGTAGGCTTCTCTGTAAGAAATCACCTTTGGAAACCGAAATTTGCAGCTCAGAATCCTTTACATTCTGGGACATAGTATTGGTTCATAATCCATGGTAGCTCTGAATGGTTCTTGACTGCTGATTTACAGAATATGGAACTCATATCTGACAAAAGCGAGACTATGAACGTCATGAGCCCTCAAGTCTCCAACACAATGCAAAAGCTGTATACAAATATGCAATTTCATCACGAACAACTAGTCAAAATTATTTCCACCTTCACGAAACACCGGTGCCGTGGCTCTCCATTTTTCAGGGAAAGCACGCAGCTGTCTGCAAAAGCAGCCACCCTGAAGCAGCTGTGCAAGTCTCTGTCGTCTCAGAGCAACCTGGGTTCTCTTCAAGATTCTTACAAGCAACCATGTTTGTCAGATTCTAGAGATCAATGACAACAAGCCCATCAACGACAATCCAACTCTGTTAGTTATCCCTCGTTTGGATTGATAGCAGACAGTGCGTTAAAAAAATCAGCTACAAAGCGACAGTCATGATATGGCACCAACAGGTAGGCAGAAAGGACAACAGAACCACGATCAACTGCGGATTTAGCACCGCCGGAGCCTCCTCCTCCATGCGGATGCGGTCGATCATACAGATTGAATCCAACTCAATTTTTCAAAGTATAAACCTTGCCCGACTTGCTTCAGGTGACCGGCCCTGGAGCTGGATATGTGTCAAAGATCGGTATGAGCCATCACTTCCAAGAATAATATGCTAGCAGTGGACGGAACGGATAAGTATTCCAATCCGAATTATTCCAGGATTGGATTTGGAAGTTTCACCGTTTCATCAAGGTCGAACCGGCGTCAACAACGATGGAGGGCGAGGAGGATGACGACTCTCCAACAAGAAGTTGCCAGTTACAACATGCGCCAAGTTTGTATTGTTTGAGCTCGGGATTAGAACGACGCAATCGAGTAAGCATCAAGTAGTTTGCTTCACGGAAGATGATAACCATTCCTTGACCAATCCAGCTCGTTACTTGTCAAAGCAATCTTCAGGTTGACTGAATCTCTCTTGATCAACACACGCCCGGCCCTAGTATTAAAAAGCAGTGAAACTACAGCACCGAAGTTTGCAAAACCACAACAGGCTTGTTTACCACTAGGGAACTAAAAACACATAATTACAGTGCCATGGCATGTTGGAACCTACGGGAGATAAAACCACAAAATTCCCCCAAACACTAGAGGATGCATCAGTAGTGAATAGTTAATGACCAATGATCAAGTAATGTATGCACACTGGGGCTGTTCTGCAAATTCTTCTCTCATTCGGTATCATCGACATGACCGCCAGTTCCAATTGGATGTCATGGTATCAACATTTCACAAGTTTCTCGACTGAGAGAGCTTTACAAGAGAAAGAAAAGATTCAACCAAGACTTGACCAGTTTCCATTTTGGGTCACTTCGCTATCCACGAAAAGCTGTTCCACCTTCCCTTCACCCATTCACCTAACTCTCTGCACCATACTCTTGCTATTGTAAACTTCTCACGCATGTACCAAGTCAGATAACTACTACAAACAAAAAGATCAGAAAACCTGACGCAGCCGGTTCTAGCACTTCAGCTTCTTTGTCGACGCTGAGTAGCCACTAGCGCCCTCCACGAGCCGTTTTGCAAGGTTGCTGCTGGTACTGCTGCCGCTGTTCATCCAACTACCCTTGGGATCTTCAGCTTCGTACCTGATAATGTTGGTCACAAACGCGTGTATAGATGTCTCTGCTCTTGGCAGACTCTCCCTTTCAAGAATCGATTGCTGCCCGGCACGAGACTGGTGCTCTGCAGTACACTTCATCTCCTGCAGGACTAGGATTCTATCCCTAACAAAGCTCTCCTTTTGCTTCTGCACATATGCCATTGAAATGGTATGGTAAGCAAGCACGACCGTAGATTCACTCGATGTTACCCAACATGTTCACAAGGCATTATGCAAAATAACCACTCTATAAATGAATAATTACAGAAAAGGTACCAAGTAGTCGAGAAAATTAGGTCCATTTGTTCATTTCACATACCAGAGGAAATGGACAAAGAGGGTGTTTCCACAAGTTAGCTCTCTGGAGTAGCTATAATCAGTCATGTACAATTGTGATGGTATTTCTTATATTACACCTCTTTACAATAGCACCAGCCTAAGTTTCGACGTTTCATTTGTTTATATGTAGTACAAGCAGGATAAGAACAGTAAAAACCAGCCAGTTTCTGGCCCCCTGGATCTGAGCAGGATGCAGTACAAAAGGAATGGGGGCAAACTTATGTGCATTGCATGGAATATTGATGCTAATATGGAGATTGGACAAATAAGAGTTTTCAATTTCCCTGTTTCTCTGAACACATGTCCACACGTGAGGGATAGGATGGCTGTCCATAAGGTCTGCAGGGTTTTGATAACCCATGTTGCATCAAAAGTTCAGAACACGCAAAAAACAAAGGCACTATCACATTAACCACCTAACCCCTCCTGCTCCTAGTTCGTTGCAAAAGTTTAAAACTACACAATCAACTTTAGGCAGCAAAGTTGGAAGATAAAGGTTTCCAGCAGCTGCTAACCTGGAAATTAACATGGCATTCAATTGACGAGCTTGAGCAGCCACAACCATCACTGAAGTTCAATGTCAGCAACATGGAAAATATGCTAGTCATTGATGTTTCCCTACAGAAGTAGGCAATTTCCTGATGTGAAGCATAGCACATAATATTTGAAAATTGAAACATTTCTTTGCGTGATCAGTTGGCACATATTGGCCGGGGGACTTTGCAATCTCCAATATACCTCTGCAAAGAAAATGGTTGCTCCATAAGAACTACAGGCTTCATGTCAGATCTGTCTGGAAAGGAAACCTGTTGATGAATACGATTTTTTTTACCATATATCAGTAACAGAAGTACGAAAACTAGACTTTCATCAACCTGTTGATGTAATATTATCTCCTTAGTCCTTACAGGAGCATTTAATGGCATAAAATAAGTATACTAGTACAACGATGTGGACATATTATTTTGAATAACCTCGATTGACCGAAGAAATGACAATGGTGCTCGCATGCCATGAACGCTAGTTACTCGCATTGTCCATCTTACACATTCTCTGAACAGAAGAAAGAGATAATCCAGTATGAGAGGCGGGTGCTTAAACCCATTTTCATACAAAGCCAGTTAAAGCATCTAGCTGTCCAATGATAGTTGCACAGAAGGAACTTAATAAGAATTCAAAATTCATTTCCAATTTGGGAAGGACACCATACAGAAATTTATATATCAAACTTGCTAGTTTCACTGTTTATATGGTGACCATAAGGTTTGCAAAGAATTTTACCATCTTCAGTTGCTCAAAATCTTGTTAATGAGGCAGTTTTGATGATGCCAACATTCAGTTTTGTCACTAACCTTGACTGGTTTATGTATCTACTAGAATTTTAGAGAGCTAGGTAAGGATAAAGATTTAAGAAATGGTGAGACGACCCTACTTTTGACTGTGTGCCGAAGAAGAAGTTGAATGAAGTCAGTACGTATATATGGAGGAATACGCAGACTCAGAATGCACATCACTCCAGCAATGACCTGTGTTGAGCGATTAAATTACTATAGCAAGGAGACATATAATAGCAACAAAGGAAACTGAACAGAAACAGACACCTTATCCACAAGCCCATGGATGACAAGGCTTGCCTTTTTGTCTTTCGGAGTTGCCTGAAAGAGAAGATTTTGTAAAGCAATCAGAATGCATACTTATTGCGGGTTTATCAAATGCCATTAGAAAGTTACAGTATTTTGGATTTACTATCCCATATTGCGCTGGTGTTCTTTATATGCGAAAGCGAACAGTGTTTCATTCATTATATTCCATTCTAGATCATTATTTATTAAACTTTAAATGAGGTAAATATCCTTTTGTTCAATTTTAAATATTTAATCGGCATACTGCATCTGTTAAGGCTGCAAAACAAGTTCCTAGGAAATCATAAACATGGAAAATCATCTCCTTCTGTTCACACCTTTGGACTGAATCAGGACTTCAAGTTCTAAATGCCATGTCTCAAAAATAAGTTCCAGAGTCAAACTTGAATTCAAAACCTCAATTTTTTAACTGTTCAGATTTAATATTTGAGTGACTTGAATCACAAAGTTTAGTAAGGCCTAATGAAACAGACAAATAAACAACACTTCAAATTTCTAAAATGGTCTGATGGTGTCTCAGCCATTTACAGAGGTAAACAGTATATGGTGGCATATAAGAGTTGAAACACAGTTTGATGCTACTTCAAAAATTCCCAACATAAAAAAGTACAGACGTAGCATTAATATTTTTGACTTATCTGTAACAAAATTTGCCTAAATCATAAGTATAACATGCATATAAAACAGAGATAAGCATGCAAGTTAGTGCTTCTCTTTGGTCCATACTTAAAAGAAAGACAACAATATGCTTGTATTTAGTTGTGTGCACCTGAAGATTAACAATAGCAACCTTTCCCCCATTCTTGATTGACAACAGAGGCATATTACATGCAGGAGTAATCTGCAAGCTGCACATTACTGGATATCAGAAAAGAAACAAGAACAGAATCATGGCTCATTATCATCATAAAAATGTTCAACCTGCTACCTCCGAATTAACAATGAACAAACAGAAAGCAACAATGGTGAGACTGATCAAATGAGAGGGAGATAGGACACAATGCCTCTCACTGAATCATAGGCAAAAAACAAGTATATAGCACTAGCAATAGCACAGTCCATGCACAGAAAGGGAGGAGATAGAGGATCTCAAATTCTTGACTACTATATATGCTAAACATGCACTGCACTGCAACATGGCAGTGCACGAAGAATGTTGAGACTCAATTATGAATTTATCTTTTGATGCATCAAAAGTGACTGGAAAATATTAGTCAGACTATAGTTTCATCCAGATCAAAGCTCCATCCTTTAAAGGAGCAAGGACTAGATCACTCGTTGAAGTAGAACTAGAGATGCACAGACTGTTATCCATCGATCTCATGTAGCAGCTTAGGTCACTGACCATTATATCTAAATCTAGGATGTCTTTTTGGTGCGGCTCCAACATACAACGGCCTGATTAAAAGCTTTTCATTCTTGAAAGATGTGTGTATTCCATTCAGGTTGTTGCCCATCTTAATCTTGTAAATAACTTTCCTTACCTATCTATGCATCAAGACGCAAAGCTTTTTGCGCTTTCTCAAGAGAAAAAAAACATGTATCGTTGGTAAGCATTTTTGACACAGGTGGGACAGGCTACAACCATGCCCACTGAATTGCTGTTTTTCTCACTTCCCATCTTTTTCGGCGCCAGACACTTTGGTGATGGTGGTTGGGGGTGCTTATTTAACCGTCCGAAATGACTGGATCATCTTTGCAACTTAGGTGAAGGATGGTGCTTGTTGTACATGTGACCGTTTGCTCCATCCTCGGGATCAATCCTAGCATCAGATTTCCACGAAAGGAGAAACCACACAAAGCCACTCTCCCAAAGCACCTCGGCAAAGAAACAGGGATTGTAAGTTCTAACTATGATATACTCCCTCCCTCCGTCCGTAAACACGTCTAGAACTCTAGATACATCAATTTCTCCAACAAGTATTTCCGGATGGAGGGAGTACTAAACTTGCAGTTTCTGGCATGGTTAATCATACATGCATATAACTAAAGAAAAGGGCAGCCCGGTGCACTTAGCTCCCACTTGCGCAGGGTCGGGGGAAGGGCCCAATAATGGTCACAAGGCAACAGCTTTACCGCTGCGCCAAGGCTCCCCTTCTCATACATGCATATAACTAATAGTGCATTTAAATTTTGATGCATCTATATAGACTTTTGTACAACTATTAATCGAGCAATTGATTTTTCCCAGATTAAACATGAGGATCATGCTTACTAAAAACTGTTTGTTGGTGTATATTGGAAAACAGTTTGAAGCAAATGGCACCTGGACAGTTTCCCAAACTAAAAAAAGAGAAGAACAGCAACTAGCTACAGTAAGTATGCGCCCCTCGTTATTTGCCTCCATCATATATATAATAATGTGGCAAAGAGTTCAGAGGATTTATCATTAAACGAGTAACATCTGTTGGCAAGTGACAATGTTTGTAACCATAATGAAGAAGGAAACTGTGAAGAAAACTGCATCTATTGTGTGAGGGTAGCATGACAAACCTAGTTCCTAGACATAGGACAAGATCAGCTGCTCGACACTGCTCCTCGGCAGAATTCATCTCCTCAGGGGGTAACGCATCCTGGAAATCAGTGGAATTATTAATGAACTGAGACAACTTCAAAGAAGATGCACAACAATTCATGTCTCTCTCTTTTCATTGTTAAAACATTTTGCCTGGAGAGTATGACACAATTACCTTTCCACTGTTAAGCATTTTATTTTGAGAACACAACACTAAAAAATTATTTCTAGCAAACATATTATAATAATCAAGTAAATTCACCAAGTATCATCCTAGCTGTGAATCTCGAAGGTAATTTTGAGGTAATACTGTCTTTAGTGATCGATTTCAAATTGGGATATTTGTGGGCACTGAGGCAACTATAACCATATTAGAATAGAGACACACAAATCTTGTAGCAGAGATTAAGCAAGTGCAACACTAAAATAGTAATATCATGTATTGTCTAACAGATTTTTTAGTTCAAAAAGAAGCATTTTCTTGGTAAACACGTCGAGATGAAAAAAATCATTGTAGCTCTTACTGTGTACCTCCCAATCAAGAACTGTATCTTTTAATCTAGCTCCACAGTTCTTGTCTGTACAACGCCTTGGAGTATCCTTCAGTCCTATTGTCTCTATTTCAAAATCACGAAGGTACCTTCATACAGAGGAGGGATTCAGGAAGAGCTATCTGAATAAACCAACAGAAGAAAAAGGAACTATTTTTGGTGTTTCCCTAAGAAAGTAGAATAAAAGCAGGGTAAGATAAAGCATACTCCGTTTTACAGCATGGGCAGACCTCCTTGAAAGAATTCCCATGCAATTCAGCCAGCTTCTCCCTTGGGAAGCCAGAACGCAAATGTAGGCTGTCAACATTCTGGCAAACACAACCTCCACAAGCTCAAATACACGGATAGCATAAATACGATTGTGGTAAATGAAGCAATTTGTTCACGACAAAAAGAATATTGTAACAGAGGATATACTTAGCAGCAAAATCTGTGAAACACAAAATATGAGCTAAAATATTCAAACTGGTATATTATAAGTCCACTTTTAGTACTAATAAATATCTGCAGCTCATATAACTAATTTTGCAACAGAGCAAAAATTTCCTAAAGAGTTGACCATATAATAGTTAACTGGAGCAAAGTTCCGTAAGAGTTAAACTTGTACAAGTGACTCGGAGCAAATAAATCCTTAAGAATTAACCTTATAATAGCAAGTCATTGGTAGTGGACACAGACACCAATACAAAGCCCATATACAGTACATTCAGTTGAATTATGCACCTGGCTTATGACAAACTTTAGGAGACCTGCTCTTTCCAATTCAACTAATGCCATATGAGTCAAGGTTGGAGCAGCTCGGTGAAATGGGAGTGAAGCATCAGGAACACCTTTTCCTGCACGCTACAAAACAAATGTGATATATACACAACTGATTATTTATTCAAATGATGGTTTATCATGAAATGAAGCACCTGGCTTATGATAATAACTACTACATGAATAAGTATGGTTCACTAACATGGTAAAACTGCATAATTACATAAAGCTTTTGGGGGTACCTAAGTCAGATAACAATAAGGAAACTAACTGATCCACAGATCATGCATTGAAACATGAAATACACTGCACTTAAGTAAATTATAAAATATATCATGTTTGCCGTCAAGCATTGCAATATAATCTAAAGAGAAACAGATTGCATGGAAGGGAACCATAATAAGAAGAAGCAACAGAGCCTACCTGCAGAGTCCACACACCCTTTGGGCCTCGGAAATCAGGTATGCCAGATGAAGTTGATATTCCTGCTCCGGTAAACACCACTAGATGCTTACTCTGAAACAATCGGGGCTAGTTTACTGAAAATGCTACATATAAAACACAACTGGAAATTTAATTGGCATCCATTGATGGCAACCCAACCTTTTGCACCATAACTGCAAGCTCTTCTATCTGCACCATAATCCAGCAAAATGAACATTTAAACAAATGTTTTCTTCAGAAAGAATGTTAAGTAGTAAGATAATAACTTCATGTCATAAAAACAGAGTTTTACA